CACACACATGATCAGACCAGACACCTGAGGAACACACACACATGATCAGACCAGACACCTGAGGAACACACACACATGATCAGACCAGACACCTGAGGAACACACACACATGATCAGACCAGACACCTGAGGAACACACACAACATGATCAGACCAGACACCTGAGGAACACACACACATGATCAGACCAGACACCTGAGGAACACACACACACATGATCAGACCAGACACCTGAGGAACACACACACACATGATCAGACCAGACACCTGAGGAACACACACACACATGATCAGACCAGACACCTGAGGAACACACACACATGATCAGACCAGACACCTGAGGAACACACACACACGATCAGACCAGACACCTGAGGAACACACACACATGATCAGACCAGACACCTGAGGAACACACACACATGATCAGACCAGACACCTGAGGAACACACACACACATGATCAGACCAGACACCTGAGGAACACACACACACATGATCAGACCAGACACCTGAGGAACACACACACACATGATCAGACCAGACACCTGAGGAACACACACACACATGATCAGACCAGACACCTGAGGAACACACACACATGATCAGACCAGACACCTGAGGAACACACACACACATGATCAGACCAGACACCTGAGGACACACACACATGATCAGACCAGACACCTGAGGAACACACACACATGATCAGACCAGACACCTGAGGAACACACACACATGATCAGACCAGACACCTGAGGAACACACAACACATGATCAGACCAGACACCTGAGGAACACACACACATGATCAGACCAGACACCTGAGGAACACACACATGATCAGACCAGACAACTGAGGAACACACACACACATGATCAGACCAGACACCTGAGGAACACACACACATGATCAGACCAGACACCTGAGGAACACACACACATGATCAGACCAGACACCTGAGGAACACACACATGATCAGACCAGACACCTGAGGAACACACACACATGATCAGACCAGACACCTGAGGAACACACACACATGATCAGACCAGACACCTGAGGAACACACACACACATGATCAGACCAGACACCTGAGGAACACACAACACACATGATCAGACCAGACACCTGAGGAACACACACACATGATCAGACCAGACACCTGAGGAACACACACACACATGATCAGACCAGACACCTGAGGAACACACACACATGATCAGACCAGACACCTGAGGAACACACACACATGATCAGACCAGACACCTGAGGAACACACACACATGATCAGACCAGACACCTGAGGAACACACACATGATCAGACCAGACACCTGAGGAACACACACACACATGATCAGACCAGACACCTGAGGAACACACACACATGATCAGACCAGACACCTGAGGACACACACACATGATCAGACCAGACACTGAGGAACACACACACGATCAGACCAGACACCTGAGGAACACACACACATGATCAGACCTGACACCTGAGGAACACACACACATGATCAGACCAGACACCTGAGGAACACACCACACATGATCAGACCAGACACCTGAGGAACACACACACACATGATCAGACCAGACACCTGAGGAACACACACACACATGATCAGACCAGACACCTGAGGAACACACACACACATATCAGACCAGACACCTGAGGAACACACACACACATGATCAGACCAGACACCTGAGGAACACACACACATGATCAGACCAGACACCTGAGGAACACACACACATGATCAGACCAGACACCTGAGGAACACACACACATGATCAGACCAGAGACACCTGAGGAACACACAACACATGATCAGACCAGACACCTGGGGAACACACACACACATGATCAGACCAGACACCTGAGGAACACACACACATGATCAGACCAGACAACTGAGGAACACACACACACATGATCAGACCAGACACCTGAGGAACACACACACATGATCAGACCAGACACCTGAGGAACACACACACATGATCAGACCAGACACCTGAGGACACACACACATGATCAGACCAGACACCTGAGGAACACACACACATGATCAGACCAGACACCTGAGGAACACACACACATGATCAGACCAGACACCTGAGGAACACACACACATGATCAGACCAGACACCCTGAGGAACACACACACACATGATCAGACCAGACACCTGAGGAACACACACACATGATCAGACCAGACACCTGAGGAACACACACACACATGATCAGACCAGACACCTGAGGAACACACACACATGATCAGACCAGACACCTGAGGAACACACACACATGATCAGACCAGACACCTGAGGAACACACACACATGATCAGACCAGACACCTGAGGAACACACACACACATGATCAGACCAGACACCTGAGGAACACACACACATGATCAGACCAGACACCTGAGGAACACACACACATGATCAGACCAGACACCTGAGGAACACACACACGATCAGACCAGACACCTGAGGAACACACACACACATGATCAGACCAGACACCTGAGGAACACACACACATGATCAGACCAGACACCTGAGGAACACACACACACATGATCAGACCAGACACCTGAGGAACACACACACACATGATCAGACAGACACCTGAGGAACACACACACACATGATCAGACCAGACACCTGAGGAACACACACACACATGATCAGACCAGACACCTGAGGAACACACAACACATGATCAGACCAGACACCTGAGGAACACACACCATGATCAGACCAGACACCTGAGGAACACACACACATGATCAGACCAGACACCTGAGGAACACACACACATGATCAGACCAGACACCTGAGGAACACACACACACATGATCAGACCAGACACCTGAGGAACACACACACACATGATCAGACCAGACACTGAGGAACACACACACATGATCAGACCAGACACCTGAGGAACACACCACACGATCAGACCAGACACCTGAGGAACACACACACACATGATCAGACCAGACACCTGAGGAACACACACACATGATCAGACCAGACACCTAAGGAACACACACACACATGATCAGACCAGACACCTGAGGAACACACACACATGATCAGACCAGACACCTGAGGAACACACACACACATGATCAGACAGACACCTGAGGAACACACACACACATGATCAGACCAGACACCTGAGGAACACACACACATGATCAGACCAGACACCTGAGGAACACACACACATGATCAGACCAGACACCTGAGGAACACACACACATGATCAGACCAGACACCTGAGGAACACACACACATGATCAGACCAGACACCTGAGGAACACACACACATGATCAGACAGACACCTGAGGAACACACACCACATGATCAGACAGACACCTGAGGAACACACACACATGATCAGACCAGACACCTAGGAACACGACACACATGATCAGACCAGACACCTGAGGAACACACACACACATGATCAGACCTAGACACCTGAGGAACACACACACACATGATCAGACCAGACACCTGAGGAACACACACACATGATCAGACCAGACACCTGAGGAACACACACACACATGATCAGACCAGACACCTGAGGAACACACACACACATGATCAGACCAGACACCTGAGGAACACACACACATGATCAGACCAGACACCTGAGGAACACACACACACATGATCAGACCAGACACCTGAGGACACACACACACATGATCAGACAGACACCTGAGGAACACACACAACATGATCAGACCAGACACCTGAGGAACACACACACACATGATCAGACCAGACAACCTGAGGAACACAACACACATGATCAGACCAGACACCTGAGGAACACACACACATGATCAGACCAGACACCTGAGGAACACACACACATGATCAGACCAGACACCTGGGGAACACACACACATGATCAGACCAGACACCTGAGGAAACACACACACATGATCAGACCAGGACACCTGAGGAACACACACACATGATCAGACCAGACACCTGAGGAACACACACACATGATCAGACCAGACACCTGAGGAACACACACACATGATCAGACCAGACACACTGAGGAACACACACACATGATCAGACCAGACACCTGAGGAACACACACACATGATCAGACCAGACACCTGAGGAACACACACACACATGATCAGACCAGACACCTGAGGACACACACACACATGATCAGACCAGACACCTGAGGAAACACACACACATGATCAGACCAG